CCTCTCCTCTCCTCTCCTCTCCTCTCCTCTCCTCTCCTCTCCTCTCCTCTCCTCTCCTCTCCTCTCCTCTCCTGTCCACTCCTGTAAATGTCATATCTCTCTGTAGTTTGCTCATCGTTAGGGAGCTTCTCCAATTAGAAAGGTTAGTTCTCTGCCTAGAAAGATACAGTAATCACTTCAGACAGACAAGAAGGCCCAATCTATTCATCTGTGAAATCTGCTCCGGTTACTTTGGGAAACTTTTGTTTGTAGATTTTCGTTTTCTTTAAAATGTTACTGAGGGTTTCTGTTCGGTGTCCTGATTTGAGTAGGGCTGTGGGCTCGCGTCCAAGTAGTCATGTGTTAGAAAACACCTATTCTCTTGGCTACAAAAGTACTGCCACTCAAACATCAAAAAGGTCTCTAAATGCCTATGGTATATTTTTCATCTTCTTTTTGAAATAAGTATTTTTGAGATGAAAGAATAAGATGAGTGTTTTTTGAAAACTAGGGCAGACCTCGTAGAGGGAGAGTGGAGGCAGAGAGGGGGAATGGGAAATCCCCAGAGACATTTCTTCACGGGTAGTTTTTAATCCCTCTAAATCCCCAGAGAAATTTCTTTACAGGTTGTTTTTAATCCCTCTAAATCCCCAGAGACATTTCTTCACAGGTTGTTTTTAATCCCTCTAAATCCCCAGAGACATTTCTTTACAGGTTGTTTTTAATCCCTCTAAATCCCCAGAGACATTTCTTTACAGGTTGTTTTTAATCCCTCTAAATCCCCAGAGACATTTCTTTACAGGTTGTTTTTAATCCCTCTAAATCCCCAGAGACATTTCTTTACAGGTTTGTTTTAATCCCTCTAAATCCCCAGAGACATTTCTTTACAGGTTGTTTTAAATCCCTCTAAATCCCCAGAGACATTTCTTTACAGGTTGTTTTTAATCCCTCTAAATCCCCAGAGACATTTCTTTCACAGGTTGTTTTTAATCCCTCTAAATCCCCAGAGACATTTCTTTACAGGTTGTTTTTAATCCCTCTAAATCCCCAGAGACATTTCTTTACAGGTTGTTTTTAATCCCTCTAAATCCCCAGAGACATTTCTTTACAGGTTGTTTTTAATCCCTCTAAATCCCCAGAGACATTTCTTTACAGGTTGTTTTTAATCCCTCTAAATCCCCAGAGACATTTCTTTACAGGTTGTTTTTAATCCCTCTAAATCCCCAGAGACATTTCTTTACAGGTTGTTTTTAATCCCTCTAAATCCCCAGAGACATTTCTTTACAGGTTGTTTTAAATCCCTCTAAATCCCCAGAGACATTTCTTTACAGGTTGTTTTTAATCCCTCTAAATCCCCAGAGACATTTCTTCACAGGTTGTTTTTAATCCCTCTAAATCCCCAGAGACATTTCTTTACAGGTTGTTTTTAATCCCTCTAAATCCCCGGAGACATTTCTTTACAGGTTGTTTTTAATCCCTCTAAATCCCCAGAGACATTTCTTTACAGGTTGTTTTTAATCCCTCTAAATACCCAGAGACATTTCTTTACAGGTTGTTTTTAATCCCTCTAAATCCCCAGAGACATTTATTTAAAGGTTGTTTTTAATCCCTCTAAATCCCCAGAGACATTTCTTCACAGGTTGTTTTTAATCCCTCTAAATCCCCAGAGACATTTCTTTACAGGTTGTTTTTAATCCCTCTAAATCCCCAGAGACATTTCTTCACAGGTTGTTTTTAATCCCTCTAAATCCCCAAAGACATTTATTCACAGGTTGTTTTTAATCCCTCTAAATCCCCAAAGACATTTCTTTACAGGTTGTTTTTAATCCCTCTAAATCCCCAGAGACATTTCTTCACAGGTTGTTTTTAATCCCTCTAAATCCCCAAAGACATTTCTTTACAGGTTGTTTTAATCCCTCTAAATCCCCAGAGATATTTCTTTACAGGTTGTTTTTAATCCCTCTAAATCCCCAGATACATTTCTTTAAAGGTTGTTTTTAATCCCTCTAAATCACCAGATACATTTCTTTACAGGTTGTTTTTAATCCCTCTAAATCCCCAGAGACATTTCTTTACAGGATGTTTTAAATCCCTCTAAATCCCCAGAGACATTTCTTCACAGGTTGTTTTTAATCCCTCTAAATCCCCAGAGACATTTCTTTACAGGTTGTTTTAATCCCTCTAAATCCCCAGAGACATTTCTTTACAGGTTGTTTTTAATCCCTCTAAATCCCCAGAGACATTTCTTTAAAGGTTGTTTTTAATTCCTCTAAATCCCCAGAGACATTTCTTCACAGGTTGTTTTTAATCCCTCTAAATCCCCAGAGACATTTCTTTACAGGTTGTTTTTAATCCCTCTAAATCCCCAGAGACATTTCTTTACAGGTTGTTTTTAATCCCTCTAAATCCCCAGAGACATTTCTTTACAGGTTGTTTTAAATCCCTCTAAATCCCCAGAGACATTTCTTCACAGGTTGTTTTTAATCCCTCTAAATCCCCAAAGACATTTCTTTACAGGTTGTTTTTAATCCCTCTAAATCCCCAGAGACATTTCTTTAAAGGTTGTTTTAAATCCCTCTAAATCCCCAGAGACATTTCTTCACAGGTTGATTTTAATCCCTCTAAATCCCCAGAGACATTTCTTTACAGGTTGTTTTTAATCCCTCTAAATCCTCAGAGACATTTCTTTACAGGTTGTTTTTAATCCCTCTAAATCCCCAGAGACATTTCTTTACAGGTTGTTTTTAATCCCTCTAATATGTCCCCATGCAGCACCATTTTATAAAAAGAGTGACATAGTAATTTATTGTACCTTGTTTTCAGGGACAGTTGTTTTCAAAACATCCTCAGACTCTGTCGTTTTTTTGAGGCACATCTATCCCCACATAAAAACATGAATCAGTGTGTTAAAAATATGCATCTTACTTCAGAATAATTGCTTTACTACTATCAGTGTTAGTGAACCAGTGTACAGATAGCAGGTTATACTATCAGTGTTCATGAGTTAGTGAACCAGTGTACAGAAAGCAGGTTAGCATACCGTACACTCATTGTTATTGCAGTAGTTTCCTGTAGCTTATTCGTTGAAGGCGGCTGCTGGCTTGTGTATTGCTGACAGTAGGTCTGTGTGTGTTGTTTGTGTTTGTGTGTGCGCGCGCATGTGTGTGTGTGTGTGTGTACCTTAGGGAATGGCCTCCCACAGATGCACTGGCGGAGCGATGCTCGTTGCTAGGGAGAACCAGAGAGATAGCAACATATGCGTTAGCACAGTCATATAGCATATCTTGAATGCTCTTATTATGATTAATTAACTCCAATATATCAATTTGTCCACATCAGCCTCTATTTAGGCCTATAGCAGAGAGAGGCTTCCAGAGAGATGCCAGCTATCCATAGAACATCCTCTTTAACACAGACATATCTCTGTCACAGAGGTAGGGGAGAAAAATGCTCGTATCTTTCCTGAAATTCCCAGGTTTGACAGAAATCCTGGTTGAAATAATTCCTGAAATCGGGAGGGAATAAGCAGGAAATTCAGAATCCTCCAACCACGATTCCTGGAAAAACCTGGGAATTTGGGAGAAATTACCCGATTTTACAACCGTAAACAGAGGACAGCAGGAGTAAATGGTGATGAATAGTGTTTGTCCCACATCTGTTTGTGCTGTCTTGCCAGCTCCTTTGGTCATTCTCATAGACGGCACAAACACATCTGGGACAGGCTAGTAAATACTATCCTGTGCTATAAATCTCCTCCGTATTGTCTCTGGTGTCAGTATGTTGGACAGTTCAGCGGCTATCTCTCTCTGTAGGGTGTTGTTACTCACTCCCTGTGGATAACATGTCACTGTTGTAGGATACAAAGAGATCCTGTCCCTGTGTAACTCCCATATGGTAAACATACCTCTAGTCTCAAGAGAGAAGCACTGTGGGAGACGAGAGGGTCAAAACTTCACTATTTAGGACGGTGATATGAGTTATATTTAAATTTTTTACATTTTAGTCATTTAGCAGACGCTCTTATCCAGAGCGACTTACAGTTAGTGAATACATTTTTTAAATATTTTTTTTATACTGGCCCCCCATGGGAATCGAACCCACAACCCTGGCGTTGCGAACACCATGCTCTATCAACTGAGCTACATCCCTGCCGGCCGTTCCCTCCCCTACCCTGGACGAATTGTGCGCCGCCCATGAGTCTCCCGGTCGCGGCCGGCTGCGACAGAGCCTGGATTTGAACCAGGATCTCTAGTGGCACAGTTAGCGCTGCGATGCAGTGCCTTAGACCACTGCGCCACTCAGGAGACATAGTATGGCTATAGTATGCTGCCATCCCTGATTCAGGCTAAGCTACAGACATTACATTGCTGTTATGTCATTTTCATCTGGCTTTATTGGGTGATTCAACCCTTTATCATTCCAGGTGACATATGAGATGTCACACTGGTGTTATTGTGAAGTGGCAAAACCCTCTGTATCAAAATGCATTAAATATCTTGAAATTTGCTGCTAACTTTTTTGTGTCAATCTTTTTTTCAGAACTTTATGTAGCGTATATCATGATATGAGATTATTCTACAAACGTTTTTAATAGGATATGTCTACATGATTGGTTTGTCTTGTTTTCTATCAGGTTAAGGATCTCTGATGCCATGCGACCCACCTCCTCCCCTCAGTGAGACAGCCCATACCTAAAACTCAGGGACCCCCAGGACAGGAGAGGGATGTGAAGCCAGCTCTGGGCTCTGTGAAGCCAGCTCTGGGCTCTGTGAAGCCAGCTCTGGGCTCTGTGAAGCCAGCTCTGGGCTCTGTGAAGCCAGCTCTGGGCTCTGTGAAGCCAGCTCTGGGCTCTGTGAAGCCAGCTCTGGGCTCTGTGAAGCCAGCTCTGGGCTCATGCTGTAAGGCAGAGAGAGACCCAGAGTCCCAGACCCTGAGAGTTGTGGGTACACAGCGTTATCTAATGGATGCCTGAGTGACTGAGTGAAGGAAGAAACTCAGAACAGAACTGACGCGAGGTCATAATGAGTGGTCAGGAAGGCGAGCCGGCCATCGGCCACAGCCATGTTGGTGAGGTCAGGAACAACAACCAGAACAGCCATGTTGGTGAGGTCAGGAGCAACAACCAGAACCAGCAGGCCGGGGGAGGGGGAGTGGGGGCGGTGTTACCCGATGGGGATGATAACGCTAACCAGATGATCCAGATGGGGGAGGGGGGCAGCGACGGCGGAGGGGAGAGTACAGGAGGAGATGTTGGCACTCTGCCCCCCCTGATGTCTCAGACCACTGAGGTATGATGATCTACATTTATCCAGTGACTTACAGATCTGAGTGACTTCCAGATCTGAGTGACTTACAGATCTGAGTGACTTCCAGATCTGAGTGACTTACAGATCTGAGTGACTTACAGATCTGAGAAGTACTAGGCAATACGTAATTCCAATAAGCCAGACTGCCAAATACCAAAGATCATTCTCAGCAAGAGCACTGAATTCTATTTATTTATTCATTTGACTGCCCTGTCCATATATTACGCATAGTTCGTATCTCTCTTTTTTAAAGTCTTTAATGCTATATACTGATGTTGAATCAACCTTTACCTGAACAGGTGTCTCAGACAGAGGAGCAACAGAACAAGATCATCATCTGGGGGACAGACTCTCAGTGTGACGACCCTGAGCTGGCCGAGTTTGAGATGTTAGAGTGCCAGGAGCTGGAGGCATACCTGGTAGAGGACGAGGACGAGGAAGTGTGTGAAGGAGGAGGACTGGGAGGAGTTAAAGGAGGCGCAGGACAGATCCTCCTGGACCAGCCTGTCTCCATCGCGGATCTAGTCTGTGACAGTAGAGACGGAGGAGGGAGGAGGACTATCCAACGGGGCTCCAGAGAGCAGGACGCCGCCGCCATGGGCTCTGGAGGAACCAGAGGGACAGCGGAGTGTGTGACGAGGACAGAGTTCAGCTCTGAGAACCATGTCTTGGCGTCCGCTATGTCCAGTCTGGTCAGTGCTCTGGACACCGTCGGACGGACACAGGCCACCACCACAGACTCCTGGCACGTCCCCTCAGGACCAGACAGGACCATCTCAGAGGAACTAACCCTAGCCTCCCAGTCCTTTACCACCATCTCAGACCTGTCTGGGGCCTCACAGCGATACAAACAACCTCAGTCTCCATCCAAAAGCACAATACAACGAGCTGACCTCGATCTAAACCAGAACACAACTGTCAGGTCTGAGGAGGAGGTTGTCGTTCCAGAAGCACAAGTCAGTAACAACGTCGTAGTGGGTCGATGTAAATGTCAGCAGAACATGGAGGAGGATCAGGGCAATGAAGAGCACAACCAGAATCTGGAGCAGAGGTACCGGGAGGCTAGAGGTAGTGAGGGGAAGGCAGCTGAGGACCACCAGGATGCTAGAGGTAGTGAGGGGAAGGCAGATGAGGACCACAAGGTTATTCCCCCTGATATGAACCACAACTCACCCGCCAAGTCAGGCACAAATGATATTCAATCGGTTGAACCCAGAAGCTTGAAGAAGCATGGCTCTTTTGATAAAACCTTAAAGAATCAAGGCTCCTTCGGACAAAGCATGAAGAAAACGACTTCATTCGAACAAAGCATAAAGAAAACAACCTCGTTTGAAAACACCACGAAGAAGTCGGCCTCATTTGATAGAAGCTTGAAGAAAGAACCTTTCTTAGATAGAACGTTGATGAAAGAGGCATCATTCGACGGAACGTTGAGGAAGCAGGGCTCGTTTGAACGCAGCTCCAGTCCTTCCAGCCTGGAAGGGAGGAAGCCTTGGGGTAGCCCCAGCAGGAGCCCCAGCCGCCCAGCCACCCCTCCCTGGTCCCCCAGGAGACCAGCCCCCTCCTCCTCCCCCGCCAAGACCAGCTCCAGACCTCCCTCCTCCTCCACCTCTCCGGCCAAGACCAGCAACCGAGCCTCCAGCCAAGACCGCAGCGACTCCCCACAGAGGGTTACCACCAGTGGCCTCAAAGTGCCTAGTAAGGTCAGTGTAAACAGCAGCATCCCCAAACCCATCTCCTCGCAGACACCTACAGACCCCAGGCGGGCCTCTCCTCACAAACCCAAACCCGCCCGTCCCAAGATCATCACGTACATCCGTAAGACCCCTCAGGCGAAGACCCAGTCCCAGGGGACAGAGGTTGACCCAAATGAAGCCTTGACACTCCCTCCCTGTCTGTCCTCCTCCCGTCCCAGCCCTCCTACAGCTCACAGAAAGCCCCACAAGGCAGGGCCCCATTCTAAGGCCTCCCAGGTGCTCTGCTCCTCTAATATACTCTTTGATAAGTACCGTCAGGAGATGCAGAAGGCAGGATACTTTCCCCCGGGTACCGGCATGACGTCGCTGGGCATCAAACCTCCCAGCCACCCTCCTCCTCACAACCTCTCTGGGAAGTCTGAGAGCTTTCATGGGGAACTGTCCTGACAGATGCATGCATGAGGTGAGAGGGTATGGTATGGTCTTGTGTGTATTTGTAGAAGCACTTGCCAAATGTTAGCGTGCTTGAAAATCATTATCATCATCCTTTTCTGAGTGCTGACTGATACGAAACTTGAATTAAATATAATATAATTTAATTTAATTAATTGAACTAAACTGAAATGAATCGAACTGATAATAACTGATGTTGTATCTCTCTGGTCAAGTTGGCTCCAGCACCTTCACAGCTGGCTCCCCAGGAGGGGACAGGCCTCTACCGTTCCCCCAGGCCCAGAGGGCCCCAGCTGGGGTTAGGGGCCGTCACCCGGCAGCCTGCTGCAGCCAAGACCAGGAGTATGTTCCAGACCCAGGGCCAGACCGGTCAGAGGTCAGGGGTCGTGACCCTCAGCCACCCAGGACAGCAGCAGGCACTGCCAGGGAACAATCAGGGATACCACGACTCCACAGGTGCGTGTTATAGAATTATCATGTTGATATGTTCCAGCTGCGTGTTATAGAATTATCATGTTGATATGTTCCAGTTGCGTGTTATAGAATTATCATGTTGATATGTTCCAGCTGCGTGTTATAGAATTATCATGTTGATATTATCCAGCTGCGTGTTATAGAATTATCATGTTGATATGTTCCAGCTGCGTGTTATAGAATTATCATGTTGATATGTTCCAGCTGCGTGTTATAGAATTATCATGTTGATATAGAGCGTTCTGTAGCACTATATAAAAAAATATATAGCATTATAGAGCATTATAGTGCTATATAGTATTATGTAATATTATAATAATAAGCCATTTAGCAGACGCTTTTATCCAAAGCGACTTACAGTCATGCGTGCATACATTTTTGTGTATGGGTGGTCCCGGGGATCGAACCCACTACCTTGGCGTTACAAGCGCCGTGCTCTACCAGCTGAGCTACAGATTATAGAGCGATATGTAGCATTATAGAGCGTTATGTAGTATTATAGTGCTATATAGTATTGTGTAACATTATAGAGCGTTATGTAGTGTTATGTAGCATTATAGTGCTATATAACATTATGTATTATTATAGAGCGTTATACATTTTTGTGTATGGGTGGTCCCGGGGATCGAACCCACTACCTTGGCGTTACAAGCACCGTGCTCTACCAGCTGAGCTACAGATTATAGAGCGTTATGTAGCATTATAGAGCGTTATGTAGTGTTATCTAGCATTATAGTGCTATAGAGTATTGTGTAACATTATAGAGCGTTATGTATTATTATAGAGCGTTATGTAGCATTATAGTGCTATATAGCATTATGTAACATTATATAGAGCGTTATGTAGCATTATAGAGCGTTATGTAGTGTTAGCATTATAGTGCTATATAGCATTATGTAACATTATAGAGCGTTACGTTGTAAGGCCGGTTGAACGTACTGCCAAATTCTCTAAAAAGAACTTGGAGGCGGCTTATGGTAGAGAAATTAACATTAAATTATCTGGTAACAGTTCTGGTGGACATTCCTGCAGTCAGCATGCCAATTGGATACTCCGTCAAAACTTGAGACATCTGTGGCATTGTGTTGTGTGACAAAACTGTACATTTTCTAGTGGCCTTTATTTTCCCCAGCGCCGGAGGGGTTAGCTGCCGTTTTACGGGCTCCTAACCAACTGTGCTATTTTGTGTGTTTTTTTTTCCGCATTGCTTGTAACTTATTTTGTACATAATGTTGCTGCTACCGTCTCTTATGACTGAAAAGAGCTTCTGGATATCAGAACAGCTGTTACTCACCTCAAACTGGACGAAGATTTTTTCTTTAATGAGTCCGACGCGAAGGATATACTGCTTCTCCGAGACCAGGCCCAAATCCCCGTCATTCCCGTGAAGAAAAGACGGAAATACAGGGGGCTGAGATCGGAGTGCCTTTTGAGAATTCGTCGGCAAGTGGGTAACCTGCCTCTACCATCTGTTCTATTGGCCAACGTGCAATCACTGGAGAATAAACTGGATGATATACGTACGTAACGTCATCCCCACAGTGACGTTACGTACATATCCCAACCAGAAGCCATGGATTACAGGCAACATCCGCACCGAGCTAAAGGCTAGAGCTGCCGCTTTCAAGGAGCGGGACACTAATCCGGACGCTTATAAGAAATCTCGCTTCGCCCTCCAACGAACCATATAACAGGCAAACAGTCAATACAGGACTAAAATTAAATCCTACTACATAGGCTCTGATGCTCATCGGATGTGGGAGGGTTTCGAAACTATCACGGATTACAAAGGGAAACCCAGCCACGCGCTGCACAGTGATTCGAGCTAAATGCCTTCAATACTCACTTCGAGGCAAGCAACACTGAAACATGCGTGAGAGCACCAGCTGTTCCAGACGACTGTGTGATCACACTCTCCGTAGCCGATTTGAGTAAGACCTTTAAACAGGTTAACATTCACATGGCCAGACGGATTACCAGGACGTGTACTCAGAGCATGCGCTGACGAGCTGGCAAGTGTCTTCACCGACATTTTCAACCTCTCCCTGACCCAGTCTGTAATACCTACATGTTTAAAGCAGACCACCATAGTCCCCGTGCCCAAGAACGCCAAGATATGTCTAAATGACTACCACCCCTTAGCACTCACGTCAGTAGCCATGAAGTGCTTTGAAAGGCTGGTCATGGCTCACATCAACACCATCATCCCGGAAACCCTAGACCCACTCCAATTCGCATACCGCCCCAACAGATGACACAATCTCAATCGACACTGCCCTTTCCAACCTGGACACCTATGTGAGAATGCAGTTTTTTTGTCATTTTAGTCAACAATCTTATCCAGAGCGACTTACGTGCATACATAAAAATAAAAATAAATCATACTGGCCCCCCGTGGGAATCGAACCCACAACCCTGGCGTTGCAAACGCCATGCTCTACCAACTGAGCTACATCCCTGCCGGCCATTCCCTCCCCTACCCTGGGTAGTCACTTTACCCCTACCTACATGTACAAATTACCTCAACTAACCTGTATCCCCGCACATTAACTCAGTACCGGTACCCCCGGTATATAGCCTCGTTATTGTTATTTTATTGTGTTACTTTTTATTTAATTTTTTACTTTAGTTTATTTAGTAAATATTTTCTTAACTCTATTTCTTGAACTGCATTGTTGGTTAAGGGCTTGTAAGTAAGCATTTCACGGTAAGGTCTACACCTGTTGTATTCGGCACATGTGACAAATAAAATGTGATTTGATTTGATCATGCTGTTTATTCAGCTTCTTGATATGCCACACCTGTCAGGTGGATGGATTATCTTGACAAAGGATAAATACTCACTAACAGGTACAGTGGGGGAAAAAAGTATTTAGTCAGCCACCAATTGTGCAAGTTCTCCCACTTAAAAAGATGAGAGAGGCCTGTAATTTTCATCATAGGTACACGTCAACTATGACAGACAAAATTAGATTTAAAAAATCCAGAAAATCACATTGTAGGATTTTTTATGAATTTATTTACAAATTATGGTGGAAAATAAGTATTTGGTCAATAACAAAAGTTTCTCAATACTTTGTTATATACCCTTTGTTGGCAATGACACAGGTCAAATGTTTTCTGTAAGTCTTCACAAGGTTTTCACACACTGTTGCTGGTATTTTGGCCCATTCCTCCATGCAGATCTCCTCTAGAGCAGTGATGTTTTGGGGCTGTCGCTGGGCAACACGGACTTTCAACTCCCTCCAAAGATGTTCTATGGGGTTGAGATCTGGAGACTGGCTAGGCCACTCCAGGACCTTGAAATGCTTCTTACGAAGCCACTCCTTCGTTGCCCGGGCGGTGTGTTTGGGATCATTGTCATGCTGAAAGACCCAGCCACGTTTCATCTTCAATGCCCTTGCTGATGGAAGGAGGTTTTCACTCAAAATCTCACGATACATGGCCCCATGCATTCTTTCCTTTACACGGATCAGTCGTCCTGGTCCCTTTGCAGAAAAACAGCCCCAAAACATGATGTTTCCACCCCCATGCTTCACAGTAGGTATGGTGTTCTTTGGATGCAACTCAGCATTCTTTGTCCTCCAAACAGGACGAGTTGAGTTTTTACCAAAAAGTTATATTTTGGTTTCATCTGAGCATATGACATTCTCCCAATCCTCTTCTGGATCATCCAAATGCACTCTAGCAAACTTCAGACGGGCCTGGACATGTACTGGCTTAAGCAGGGGGACACGTCTGGCACTGCAGGATTTGAGTCCCTGGCGGCGTAGTGTGTTACTGATGGTAGGCTTTGTTACTTTGGTCCCAGCTCTCTGCAGGTCATTCACTAGGTCCCCCCGTGTGGTTCTGGGATTTTTGCACACCGTTCTTGTGATAATTTTGACCCCACGGGGTGAGATCTTGCATGGAGCCCCAGATCACGGGAGATTATCAGTGGTCTTGTATGTCTTCCATTTCCTAATAATTGCTCCCACAGTTGATTTCTTCAAACCAAGCTGCTTACCTATTGCAGATTCAGTCTTCCCAGCCTGGTGCAGGTCTACAATTTTGTTTCTGGTGTCCTTTGACAGCTCTTTGGTCTTGGCCATAGTGGAGTTTGGAGTGTGACTGTTTGAGGTTGTGGACAGGTGTCTTTTATACTGATAACAAGTTCAAACAGGTGCCATTAATACAGGTAACGAGTGGAGGACAGAGGAGCCTCTTAAAGAAGAAGTTACAGGTCTGTGAGAGCCAGAAATCTTGCTTGTTTGTAGGTGACCAAATACTTATTTTCCACCATAATTTGCAAATAAATTCATTAAAAATCCTACAATGTGATTTTCTGGATTTTTTTTTCTCAATTTATCTGTCATAGTTGACGTGTACCTATGATGAAAATTACAGGCCTCTCTCATCTTTTTAAGTGGGAGAACTTGCACAATTGGTGGCTGACTAAATACTTTTTTCCCCACTGTATGTAAACAAATTTGTGCACCACATTTTTGAGAAATAAGCTTTTTGTTTCTGGGATAATTTCA